GTGTGGGGGTGTGTGGGGGGGAGGGTGTGGGGGGGTGGGGGGGGGGGGGGGATCCTGTCACTTCGTTCACACGCCCCTTCCCCGCGAGGCCAAGACTTGATGCTGGAATGCGCAGCCTTTGCTGCGTCCAGCACCCCGCGAGGTGAGACCGCGGTGTTGAGGAGGGGCCCATGCACGTCCTGCGAAGGACGGGCAGGAGGAGCCCAGCCCTTGTCACACAGAAAGCCATAAGGGCACAGGAAGGACTTGGAGACGTGCTGGTCACGGGACTGGCACCTTTGCCTGTTGGACTCTGAAGCCAGTTATCAATGAGCTGCAAGCAATAAACCGGACTTTATTGCAGCACTTCTCTGCTCCTTCCTGCTCATACTGCCTTTGAGTGGGGAGCACAGCAGGTGCCATGGAGCCTGTGCTGTTGTTTTACTCCCTGCATGTGAGGAGGGAGGGAGAGGGTTCAAACCACAGCTGAGGAGACATATCTGAGGAGACAAATCACATTTGAGGAGACATGAGGCACAAATTTAGGGAACTCTCGTGCGATTTTGTCCTTTTTAAGACACTCTGTGCAGGCTTTAGGAGTGCCACAGTCCAGTGGGCTCGGTGAGCACGCGGCTGTGGTGATCAGCGCGCGGGCTGTGCGATTTTGTCCTTTTTAAGACTCTCTGTGCAGGCTTTAGGAGTGCCGCAGCCCAGTGGGCTCGGTGAGCACGCGGTTGTGGTGATCAGCACGCGGGCTCCCTCGGAGTGCATCCTGTACCTGGGCCCGAATCCTCCCGCAGACTCCCGGTCTCCATCTCCGAGGAAGTATCCTTGGAGAGATTGCTGGCTTAGGCGGCTAAGTTCTGGCAGGGAAGAAGTGTGAGTGTAAATTGTAATAGGCAACAAGGTGAATTAAAACTGCTCCAGGGCATGTTCTTCAATTGGTGTGGTGGTTTGCAGAAACAATGCTTACACTGTTCTCTGTGTCTTGGCTGGTACTCTCTAGATTTATCTGCACATGGGGAACATTTGAAAAGAGACTGTACCTTCCATATGTACCTTCCATACCTTCATATCAGCAAAATTTTATGAGTGCAGCTCCTGGAGGTTAACTGATACACCTTCCTGGCTGTTCCAGCAAGGGGAGAAAGTTACCATTCCTGAACAGAAGAGTTAGATTAAGTTAGAAGCTAATGGACGTGTTGGCAGTTACATCACATGTATGAAAGGAGGTAATAAGGCTCCTTTTGCTGCTGGGTTGTTAAAAGAGGGAGCTGCGACAGTATTTAATTGACATACGTTTATTTCTGTAATCAAATGTTTTCTGTTTCAAGTTCGAAGATCTTGATTTTAAATTAGTCCTGATTTTCCTTTTTACAGATATGCCGCTTCCTCCAAAGAAGTACGGTTTTGTCGTTTCCAAAACTGTGTCATATATTTTGGCGGTAAGTTGGAAATTCACATTGCTGTGTAGTCGGTAAAGATGAAATTATTGGGTGAAGTGTATGTTTAAAGCCTTGAATTTTAATCTGATACTGCAAATAAGATTATTTGCAGTAGAATATTTCTGTGCAAACCCCTCTTTTGCCATTATGGCATGGAGTTGAACCTTAAATACTTGTATGCTGGAAGGCCCTGGGCAAAAGAAGAACTCTTCAAAAAGACCGGAAATGTTACTTTTAAGACAGGAGACATAGTACGAGTCATAAATTTCAACTCCAGGGAACCTCAGGAAATCGGTTTTAAGCCTTTTGAATCCTGAGGTGTACAGTTGAAGCTTTTACGCTTTATTGTGAACCTGGTAAAGCATCTTTATGTTACCTGAAAGTATTGATTTAATTTTGGTAGGGCTATGAAAAGCACCTGGCTGTGTAAAAGAGAATTTTAAAATCCAAGTCAGAAATATTTTCCCAGCAGGATGTAGGAGAGGAGACAAAGTCAGTGTGTTACAGTAAGATGAAGACTTCATCTGCAAATGTGCAGTATGCCAAAGGGATACACTGAAAGCAATGTAGAGTTTTTTATTTCTTAGAATAATAGTAATCTATTAAGCATGTTGGAAAGGTTCTTAATTGCTTTCCAAATGTGGCACTCTGCCAGCTCCTAGAGTGTACAGCCATCGATATGTAGCTGTGCTGTCCTTGTTCCTCATTAGCAGGCTGAAGGAATGTTCTGATGCCTTCTGTTCAATTTTTAGCCTTTTGTTTAAATTTTGCATGAGTGGAGAGAAGGAAGTACTTTGAAATGTTTCTGTTTAGAGGTTCAGGAAAAGTTTGCTTTTAACAATGTTATTCTTTTGAAAAAACACTGTTGCCAGGTGTCATCACACAAGTATATCACAAATGTGCAGCTGCAGTAAGACAATTAGTGATGAAAAATATCAAGACCCTTTTCAGCTTGGTAGAAAAGACTTGAAAAATCTCTATGAGGATATTAAAAAGGTAAGAGATTTTGATGATTCTTCTGGGATATTGTAAAGATTCAGACTTTAAAAGCAACCACAGGTTAGGAAAACAGTCATTGAAGGAATATTCCTAATGTACAGAAACAACTGTCGGAAACCTAAACAAGGAGATCATTATATCTTACAGAACCATAACTCATTTTTGTTTTTTCTTGATTTACATAGATAGAATATTCATATGTATCTCCAATTACCATTAAAATGTTTTAAAATGTTTTTAAAACCGTTGCAACTTGTATTAAGTGGAATGAATACAGACAGGAACATTATACGTGTATCCTGTTTGCTCACATCAACAGACTGGCTTTGTAACTTTAATGCTGATACATTCTTTTTCTTTTTTTTTGCAGGAATTGCTTGTATCTACAGCAGAACTTAGGGAAATGTGTGAATATTACTTTGACGGGAAAGGAAAGGCCTTTCGACCAATGATTGTGGTGCTAATGGCAAGGGCTTGCAACATTCATCATAATAATTCCAGGTGAGTCTGTCACCCTTAAGTATATGGGCATATATCTTACTTTAAGTTTAATCATTCCCACATTACCCCAAAATGTCTAGTAACGTTACGAAAATAAAAAGCACTTCAGCAAAACCTGAATTTAACTTCCACTATGAGGCTGTATTTTAGCAGTTAGCAGTGTGAATGGAATTACTAGTTTTGATACATACAGTAAAATGATGGATTGTATTGCAGTTGTTACTAGTGAATAATGTTGCCAAATTCTGATATTTGTAAAGGTTTCAGTCAATTATAACTTCTTGTGTAAATGCTTTTTTACAATCTATCATATGCCTCAAGACTATATTAACTAAAAGTTTTTTTTTTATTCATAACCATTCTTATAGCTATTAATCTCTTGTTGCAGGTAAGAGACAAGAAACGCCCTTTTTATTTTGTAATTGCACAGAAAAGCCAGTAAGCAGGTTGTACGATTGTATAAAATGCTCTGAGACATACAGCAAAGTAAGAGGTATTTTCCCGTCTAAGATCAGTTTTCTAATATTTTAGTATAAGATTTTAAGCTTAAAGGTGGTGTAATCCTCATGTTTTTCAAGTTATATGACCTCTGAAAGCAGAGGAGAAGCATCGTGCTAGCCTTGTACTCTCAGTCACTCATTGCTCTGCTTGACTGCAAATTATTCTCTCAACACGTTCCCATCAGTTGTTATGCTAGTATTTTGAGGAAGGAAGTTGGCTGGAATGTTCCCTGTATTCTAGCTATACTTCCAGTCTTCTCTGGTATAAAATTTCACATTTAAAAACTTGGTTCCTTGTCAGGAGTATTTCTAGACCATTTTATTAATCTTAGGGATTCTTCCTAGCTCTTGCAACAGTTTTTCCTTACTAGTAGGTTAGTGCCTTGCTTGATCTCTATATCAGAGCATTGCTGCTTGATGTGGTACCTCTGCTAGTACAGCAGTGTCCTTCACCCCCTACCATGTGAGTATAGTTCTTGGACAGAAAGAACCTAGTTGGCAAGTGTTGTGCCCTCTGTTGGATCCTCTTGTCTTAAGAAAAGTTATCCAGGTTTGATGATCTTCATACTGCACTCTCTTCAGTACTTTTCATTGGCATTGTCTTAAGAGGAACAAAGTAATTTGGAATTACTCAAGCAAATCAGTACTGTGACAAAGGGCTTAATATTTTTATGGGTGACTTTGGCGTACAAAACAGCATTGCAGTGATGGCACTTCTTGATGACAAAACTGCTCTTAGTTCAGAGGATAATTAGGCCATCCATGGGTGGGAAGAAAGGAAGCATGCCAAAACAAAAAAGGTTGAGTAGCACAATGAAGCAAAAATACCTGCTTTGAGGCTTCTCAGTGTCCCACTAGGGCATAACCTCCAGTGTGATATACAGCCAGCGTGTATGAAAATCCATGATCCTGGCACACATCAATCACAGCACATCCAGTTGAGCTAAGGAAGCAGTAATATCATTGTACGTGGCTTTTGTGGAATCATCTGCAGCCCTGATGCTTACATTCAAAGAGAAAAAGGGCTCTAGGTGTCTCTCAGGAAGGATTGCCAGGATAACCAGGGATAATGGAGAATTTGTCTTAGATACAGTCTGGGAGAGGTTGACTCTTCAAGCATTACAAAATGAAGGCTATGGAAGTAAATAACTGCTCTACAAATCCATCAGGAATAGGAGGGAAAAAGCTATTTAAGACAAAGAGTACTGTTGATAAGTCATAAACTTAGCATAGAAATTCAGGAGACTATTACTAAATGGGACAGTGAGGTTTCAGAGCATCCTGCTATTGAGAATAAGGGAGGACGATTTGGCTTACTCTCATGTGTAGCATGACAAAATTACGAACAGGATTTTGTAGTGTATAGGCAGTACCAAGGAGGCTGGTAAGGAAGTGCGTACTATGTAGGGTAATCGGTGAACAGACATAAGAAGAACTGAATTAGGTCTGCAGCTTTCTAATATACCTATGCAAAAGTCTCTTATTTCCTTTGTGTTCCTGCCTTTACTTGTTCAAGGCATTTCTGGCAGCTTTTGGCATATGTACTTGTTTACCTGTGAAATACATTCCCAGCCACTTACTTTCTTTAATGTGAAACCCTTGGGTCCACTTTTGAGCCCTGCCCTACGTGAGAAAATTGGATATCTGGGCTGAAGTGTCGCGTGTGCTTAAGGGCAAGTGTTCGTTGCTTGATAGTCTACTCTTAGCACCAGTGCTCTTGAGTTAGATATTGGTGCCATTTGACACCTCTTGCAGTTTTTATCTGCACCTCTGAACTATGTTTAATGTTCAAAAGCCTTTTCCTTAATCTGGATGTTCCTTGTACAGGAACAAGCTGAGTTACCATTTCTCTCGTGTTGATTTTAGGTTGCAATTCTGAGCAGGGAGAACAAAAATCTTTAAACAAAGAAGGAGAATGAAACCCTAGGGTATTTACCTTCATCTTCTTTGCTTCATCCCCTTTAAGTTTGTGATTTTATCAAAATTCTTGTAAGTTTATACAAGCCCTCAGAGTACTGCTGCTTTTGGGTTGTACGTGATGACAGACCACCAGGGCTGAGGAGGCCAAAGAATAGTTTGTCTGATTTTGGATGTCCACTTACTGCGAGTTGATCCAGTTTCGAAGTCAAAAGAGAAAAAAAATAACGTGAGGTTCTTGGTGCAGGTTGTATGTTACACCAGCTTCTGAGCTTTAGGCTGCTAATCGTTATGTAATGCATAGCAAGTATGTGTACTTCCTGGTCATGTTGGTATTGATTTCATTGTTGTTGCTTCTTACAGTGTTGCTGCTTCTTCAGGACAAACTTGAAACTCTTACTCTTCATGGGTAAGATTGTATAGGTAGAGATGGAAACACAATATTTGTACCTCTGCTCTTTGATAATACAGACAAAAAAAAATCTTGCTTTCCATTCTGCTTCTACTGACTCTTTTTGAGATGCTTTTCCTCTTTCACGTGTCATTTCCCTTAAAGCATCCTTTTGTCAGTTTATGTTGATTCTTTTCTCAAACTTGTATTTCTTGGAAGCTTTAGTTCCTCCCCGTTTGCATCCAAGATACTGTTCAGAACATCTCCGTACTAGTGTTTTGTATCATGGGTGGATATCAATTGCAGATCACAGGGGTGAGCCAATTTCCTGTTCTTTCCATCCCTAGCATTTTTCTTTCTGCCTCTGGAGCTTGTTCTTGCTGCTTTTTCCAACTATCATATAACTTTCTGGATCTAGCCTGCTTCTGCCTGTGTGCGCATGTGTATACAGTATTGGAAAAGGTGATCTTCTCCCTTGTTGGGCTCTTAGAAGATGCAGCTTTAGAAGGTTCTAGGTCCTGATCTAGGTCCTTCCTTGTGCCACGTGCTGTTGGTGTCCCTGATGGAGCAGGGGGTTGGACTGGATGATCTCTAGAGGTCCCTTCCAACCTCGACCACCTGTGATTCTGTGATCTATGAGGCAGTCTAAAAAGACACCTTTGCAGAGCCCTACCACAGTTTTTGAGACCTTACATTCCCTTAAGGGAATGAGGACTACCCAGATAGTGATGCTTGCACATTGGGGACCTTGATTGCTTTTATTTGTGGAAGGTAGATGCCCTCAGTAGGTTGACTGTCTTTTTTTTTATTTTTTTTTTCCTTGAATAAGGTCACTCTGTTGTGGTACTGCAAGAGAAGGGACAGTTCTATAGGTGATAAATCTAAATGATGAATCTAGAAAGCTATCAGAAGGTCACCACCTGAAGCATCCAGATTGCTTTGTGTTAATATGAGTTGTTTTGTTTGTTTTGGAGGGCTTTTCTTGGTTGCTTTCTATTTTGCTGTTTTTTTTTCTTTCCCTTTATAATCCAAGTGCCAGATTCCAACCCTGAGTTCTTAGGTTGCTTTTACAGTGACTTTTGGTATAATGACAGTAGTTTGTCTTTGTTTGAGGGTGAAAATTCTTGTAAAGAGTTTAAGCTGAGATCATGCAAATCCTCGGTTTCACACATCCTCTGGCATTTCTTCACATAGTGCCTGTGGGCAGATTTCACAGTATTATCACTTAGCCTGGCTAGACCTATCTTTCTGTATAGGTTGTACTCTCAGGAGATTCTTGTGAATAGGTATTTCTATTTCTACAGCCAAATTTTGAGAGAGAAACTGAGAGAAAAGAAAGCTGAAAGAGGTACTAAAACATCCCAATACAGAAAGTAGGGAGTACAAAAACACAAGTACAAAAGGGCAGGGGGAAGGGAAATAAATCTCCCCAAATGGTGAAAGTAGTAATTAGAATAGAATAGTAGAATATACTATTCAGTATATTCAGTACTGAAGAATATTATTTTCTGAAGTAGAAAAATATTTTCTGAAGGGATACAAGGACCTCCTAGTGATATCAGCCCTCCTGCCCTGCCGCCGTCCCCAGCCATCGCTGTTGGAGATGCCTGTATTGCACAGGGCTTTTCAGCAGTTCTGCAAGCTGTAGCTCTTCTAGCACATCCCTCCTCTGTATTTGCTTTATTGCATGCAAGGCCCTTCTGCATCAGAGGCCACACTTCTGAAATGTTTTCTTTCTTTTCCTCCAGCTCTGGGGTTTTCACGGGACAAAAAGCCCAAAACCCTATCCTGGGGCATGTGGTCAGGACACAGTAATCTTGCAAGTTCTTTTGCAGGTTTCCTATCTTTTATGTTAGCAACGTGTCATTACTGGCAAACACATTGCAAAACTCTTTGTTTCAAACTGTAAATACCATTTCTGTTGTTTGAGGGTTTTTTTCCTCTTTGAAGAGGGATAGCTGGAGGGCAGTTTGGGGTTTTGTTGTTTTTAGTTTTTGTTGTTTGTTTGTGTTTTTCTACCTGTAAGATCAGTCTTAGTCTTGTTCTCTGTGTATGAAATGACTATGTGGGGGGTTATGTGAAAACCCCAGGGTACAGTGGGTCTATCAAGCTTGTCATAGAATCAAGCAGGGAGTCATAGTGAGATGATCGTGGACACAAATGATCAAGGCCATAAAGATGAATATAATGTGTGTGCAAAAAGAGAAATTTAGTTATATAAAATGTATGTATTTTTATAAAGACATATCATCTCGGTGTGTTTTTACTCTGAGAATGACACAAAAATGGCATCTTTCCATGTATTGGACGTGTAGGTATCCATTTATTTGTTGACCTGAACTACTGCTACTTTGTGTTTTTGTTTTGCAGGGGAGACAGAATAAAAAATGTCAGGGGATGGGAGTGATCCTGTTTCTTCTCTTTCTGTAAAACAGGCATGCTGCAAATCAACTTTCTACAGCCATCTTGTGAGAATAATTCCATTACAAAATCCCCTGTCATTGATGAGAAGACATAACCTAAGTTTGCAGCAGCAATAACCTAGAAAAGTTTCTGGTGAAACTATTGCACCTGACCTAACATATTGGAAATCAGACACATTAACATGAGCTTCCCTGTGCCATTTTGAGTCGCTTGTCAGAGATGAACTCCACCATGAGACAGAACTTTTCAAAACTTTATTTTGAACTGTCTGTAGTGCTGTCTTCTTGCTATTAAGGACATTGGTATGTCTGTGAGTGTTGCCGCTTACTGCTACTTCCCAGCAGGAAGTCCAGTCTGCTGACTTATTTAATGAAAAGGGGAGCCCCCTGAAAGGAGAGGAATGCATGAAAGGGACTGGAGACTTTTACAGTTGTTTGAAGGTAAGTTCTCCTACTTAGTAACAGTAGTTGTGTTTTTCTTTTTCTGGAAAACTACTTATTCCAAACTAACATTTGACTAAACTATCAGTGGACAGTAACATTTACCTGAAAACAACTGTGAAGGTTTCCAGTTCTTATTCTCAGGCCACAATTTCACAGCCTGTGAGCTGTATCTTGCTATTTTTTCAGGATGTAGAACTCCCACTGACAGCAGTGCGGAGTTCTGCATAAAGGTAGGTGTCAGAACACAGTGTTATGTCAGCAGACTGCAAGATGTTCTTTCATTTTATGATTAATCACTGGATTTTAATAGCTCTAGGCAATGCAAGAAGATTTTAAATTTCCTTCAGTTACGCTGAAATGAATTTTTCCATTTTTTTCTCAACTCTTTTTCTGTTCTGCTAGGAAACAGAATGATTTTCTCATTATATGTATGCAAGAAGTAAGGTCCTGGATATTAGAAGTAAAGTGTTGTTGTTTTGGGGCTTTACCCATGTGTGGATGGATAAACTTGCAGCTATAAGGCATGGCTGACTGGCATCCTGTATGCAACCCTGAAAACAGGTAGAAAAATAAATAGAATACAGGCAGAAAAAGACAAGATACTTGAACAAGGCAGTGATATTTGGATAGTAGGGTAGATGGTCCTCTGTCTGACCTGTGATGGCTCTTTTGTGTTCATTTTTTCCACCTTCATCCCTAGATAATTGCTCCATGTTCTTTCATTACCTATTTTTTTCACCTATTTTTTTAAAAAAAAGTAGGTGTGAACTACTGAGAGTTGAATCATCAGTGTTAGATCACCCAAAAGCTGAATTTCGAGTGTGTTAGCTAGTTATCAGTTATAGTTATAGATTGCAGTATCACTCCAGTTTCCTCAGGCTTTTGCAGAACCCCTGAAGTTGCAGAGTATTTTTCAGTTTCAGACAAAATCTGTGAGTTATGCCTTTCAAATATAAAATACAGATTTTTGTGCCTACTGATCAGGAGATCCTCTACCCAGTTATTATTAGCCAGCTTTGGAGATTTTTGTGGTGCTGCCTGTTTTTGGTAGAGCAACACAAAGATAGAGAAAAGTTTAAAAAAAAAAAAAAGAAAAAGAATTTATTTCCTGCAAAGCTGTATGGCATTCTCTCACTGTCCCTTCTCTAGATGTCCAACTCCTTGAAATCAAGTATCCTCTATGCTGTGCTGTTTAATGCAGTCTGGATTTAGAGGGGCCAGAGTCAATAAATGAAGAGTGTTGCAGTACCATTAATCCAGCTATACAGAAATGGGCCTAATAAAGATGCAACTATCCCATTGCACATACTGTACTAATGTGATCTGATTTTTCTCTTGTTTCCCTAATTCTAGGTTTGAAAGATGGGTCCAGACCATGAAAAAGCTGCAGTAGACATTCTCAGAAATAATATTTGTTTGCTTTCAGTGGAGATTTTTTACATCAAATTCACTTAATTATGTGACTTTTTATTTTTAGGGAGATGCAAGCAAGCCAGCGCTCTGTGGCCATAATTGCAGAGATGATCCACACAGCTAGTCTAGTTCATGATGATGTTATTGATGATGCAAATTCTCGGAGAGGAAAAATGACAGTCAATCAAATCTGGGGAGAAAGGAAGGTGAGTTTGCCATTCTGTACAAGATTTGTCTTTCAATGCAGGCAGAACAGGAACAGCTAGGATTTTGTCACGTTGCTAACAGTGGGCTGAGAGCACAGTTCCACACTTAGTCCAGGGCAGGAGTGAAGCAGTGTGTCAGGGTGCCTGGGTTTGTGGGCAAAATGGGTGATTTTGAACTTTTGGAAGCATTAGAGAAGGTTTGGTTGCAGTGCAGTTCTTACTGAGTTTAATTTCACTATGCAGTTCTGTCGTGCATCCTGGAAAACTTTGAACTTGTTCACATTCACAGCCCTCCACAGGTTATCCTGTTTCAGTAGTAAACATAACATGTCTTTCAGTCAGCTTAAGAATTTTTTGAAATGGTTGACTAGTACAGACTGTTCTCTTTTACTGTTATCACTGCCTTGCAAACTGAGAGAGAGGCATTTGTTAAAAGGAAGCTCCTAACTGGAAAATGCGAGGAAAGAAAGAAGCCATTGGCATATTTGAACTTGTCATGGCACCTCAGAGCTAATGTGGTGGAACACGGCAAAATGGTCAAATAGAGTGGGAATGTTTAAAGAATCTCAGCAGGCAAACACACGGTCAGTTATTGCATACAGGAAGGATGTTGCTTATGTAGCAAATGCCTAAACTGTAAGATAGGCATTCAGAAATGGTTCTAATTTAAATGTTTGGCTACCTCCTGTTTTGCCCTGTTAGAATGAGGAAATGTGCATTTTATATAGGAAAATTATGTGATGTGACTAGACCAGCCAAGTAGAGAGGATCCTATTGTCTCTGTGAGCATTTACAGGAAAAGGCTTAATTTTTTTTTCTTTTCTTTTTTTTTTCCTTAGGCTGTTCTAGCTGGAGATTTCATCCTCTCAGCTGCTTCTGTAGCTTTAGCACGAATTGGAAATACTACTATCATCTCTGTTTTAACTCAGGTGATTGAAGATTTGGTGCGGGGTAAGGTCTCTTTCTATTTTTATCTTCACATTTTTTTGCCCAAGCAATAAACCCATAAATAACTCCCATCTGTGCAATTTTTTTAGGTGAATTCCTCCAGTTGGGTTCCAAGGAAAATGAGAATGAGAGATTTGCTCACTACCTCGAGAAGACTTTTAAGAAGACTGCAAGTCTTATAGCAAACAGTTGTAAAGCAGTATGTACGTCTGTCTCTTCTAAAGTTAACATACCATACTGTAAGCTTCACAGCTAAACTCCTAATTATTGCTCCTTTCTCTGGAGACACTTCAAAGTAAATCCCTTAAATGCTATTCTGCCAGGATATAAATGGCTTTGAGATGGTGGATTCTCTTCCAGTTCAGCTGTGCAGCCTCCAATATTGGTTTTCTTGTCTTTTTTTATTTCTGTTTTATATTCATGCACAGATTTATTGTTATCCTCACTTGAATCAAAGTAAGGTCAACAGTGTCTGTCTCTAATTTACAGAATTCAGCAAGCTTGAGCCAGTGTTTTTAATGTCAGTTGAGATTTCTGGAGTCTGCATTTATTTATTTATTTATTTATCTGTCTATTTATTTTAGGCCACTTCCACATCTGGTCCTACTCATTAGTGTAGAAAGAGATATTAAATGAAAACAGTAGGAGGAAAACAATACTTTTTGTATATTCTTATGTAGCTTTGCTTTAGAAAAGAAAGATTTTGCCCTTTGCTATTGGTTAAATCACAGGAATTAAGTATTTGTCACTGGATAAATTTAGGTGACTAATCAAGTAATTTTGCCTCGTGTTACATTATAAAAGGAGTACATACTTGCTGATTTGCCTGGGGTTTTTAATTATCAATTGGTTGGATCAGGATCCAACCAGACAAATATCCAAAACAACCTTTCAGTCTCCTCTTTGCAGAGGGAGAGGCCTGTTTCAAGATGATGTTCATATTAAATATACATATCTATATATATAAAAACAGTGTAGAAAAATGGAGAAGCTGGGCAATAACCTCACTGCAAGAGAGTTTTATTTTTATTAGAGGAGGAATAGCAGATGTATGTAGCAAGGGGGAGTTCTAAGAGAACTGTGCTATAATCTGCGCTAGTATTAATCATCTTCCTTTGCTCTCAGAGAACTGTTATGTTTGTGCACTAGATAGTAGCTGAAAATTGCGTAAATCAAGAGGATCGTATAGAATAAGAGACACAGTTTTTTGTGGGGAAGGAAAATGCTTTCGTTACATGAATTCTTCTAGTTGGAGGAAGAAGTTCAGTCTCCTGGATTGTTCATGTTAATGGTGGTATGGCAGTGGAGAATGTCCCTTTGCAATTCTTCACTCATTTTCATGGAAAGTTGTAGTAGGAAGGAGAGTCACATCATTCTTCTACTTAATAAAAATGTGCAAGCTTTTATATTCATTTTGACAATCTTCTTAAAAGAACCTCCATGGTTAGAAGAAGAATCACCCTCCCACCCCTTATTCCACTTCCCACTCAAATCCATGCAAGAATTAAAGCTTTGAATACTTTCTTCTAGGTTGCACATGAGATGCTTGTTAAGGGGAAGGAAACATGTGTGGCTGCCCTCTTCCAGTGCTTCACTTTCCAGGGCTGAATTGTTAGAATTTTATATGCAGTTAAACTTTGTTATAAAGAAAAACAAGAGATAGGTCTGTCCTTGTGACAAAACCATGCTTGCATACAGTGGCAACAGTTTGTATATACATCTCCCCATCAGTTTATTTATGTGTAGATTAAGAGAACTGTGCTGATATCCCTAGCAGTAAAAAGCTATTTTTGATAATTTGGGCCATTAAGGAAAAGGATGGAATGAGAAGAGTGTTGTGTTATGTGTGGCAGAGATGATCACTACGATCACCAGGTTTAGCTTGTAAAGAAGTTCACCTGTATTTCAGCTGGGAATGAACAGTATTCACACCTTGTTTTCAAGGACAAAGCTAAGGGAAGAGAGAGAGATTATTGATGTTGAGAATATTTTTTACACCTTAATAGAGTAGTATGTCATTGGGAGCAGCTCGAAACTCATTAATGATAGAAACAAATTAGCATCTGATTTCCTACGTATAGATAAGATAAAAAACTATTACCGGAAAAAAAAGTTGTCAAACTAATGTGAACATGCTCTTGGAATCCTTCATTATATGATGCCTTTGAAAGGTATTACTCAAAAACAAGATAATGGACATTGCATTAACACTAGAGGGTATTCACTGCATTGGTCATCTTCTGTATCTCCAAAGCATCACTGCATGTGAATCAAAATTCCTTTAAGGTAGATCGAAAAAACATCTATCAAGATGTTAGAGCCATCAAGTCACAGCTTGCGAGATGTTGCAGTCTCCCACTTATTTATACAATAATTCTGCCTGGGGGAACGGGTACTGAATTTGCAGTCCAAGTAATATATTGCAAGAGGATGTGGTGGCTTGTGGCCTAGAGGGTGACTGAAGCCTTAGTTACTGACAGGTATTTCTCCGACAATGTGAGATACTCTGGTTCAAAAATTCAGAAACAATAAGGAAGAACTGGAATTTCCATCAATCATCAGGCAAATTGGAGAGGGCAAAATAAGCCTAGCAGGTTACCTCTCTCAGTCCTTTTTCTTCTTGCTGTAATGTAAATTTCGAAAGCCATTTATATTCCACATAGCATACTTACAGCAAGGGCTAAAAAACATTCTTGTTTGAGGTCAGTGTAAAGTTGCACTAGAAATTCTTGATTTTATTTCGTAGAGCTTTGAATTTTATAGCTTTGGGCCTTGATCTTGCAAACTCATGTACACAGACATGTCCTTGCAGGCTCGCATGGAAAGGCAGGACTTTGTATGGAAGGTCTGCCTTCAAAATCAGAAGAAAAGGCAGAGTCTACAGCTCTATACCTACCTGTGAGCTCCTGCTTAACTATTTCATGGTTTGGTGTGTGCACAGGGCTCTGTATGGATCTGGTGGCTAAGAAAATTAGATGCCTTTGGATATATTAGATGCTGGGACACTAACAACAGTGTTGACCAGCTTGAGGAGGTTCGTACAGACAACAAAAAAGTCTTAAAGCAGATGTAGGCTCGTATCAGTGGAATCAGATATTGCAGTCAGCCGGTAGATCTTTCATTTTATTTAAAATGCACTTATTCTCTGGGGGCATATATTCTCCATATTCTCTTTTCTAAGAAGGAGAATAGCATAAGTGCATCACAAATTTTCAAGTAGATAATCCTCACTTCTGTAAAAGCACAGTTTTTATAAGTAAGTGCGTGTTACTTGAGGTCAAATACATGACAATGCAAATTCAGCACAAGGAAACAGTTTTCAGCTGCGTGTAAGGGCTGCTTTCAGGCAGATCGCGTCCTCTCTGAGGCAGGCCTTTATAACCCCTCTTACTAGAGGAGCAGGTACTAAAAGGGTTTAAAGAGCTGGGAGGAGGCAGCAGCGTGTCCTGCAGCCCCAAAGACCGGCCACGTCCTGCGCTGCTCGGCAGCAGCGTGGCCGGAATGACGGGGGAAGGACGATGCTCTCCCAGCACGTGGGACTCCCTGGGCAGAGCCGTGGCCAAGGCTGGGCTCCCCCGAACGTGGTGGGTGAGGCCAGGGAAGTGGCAGTGGGAGGGCTGGGGCTGGTGCCAGGAGAAGCCCAGAGTTGGGTTTGTTTTGGAGAAGGGAAGACAAAGGGAATCCTCCTGCTGCCTACAGCTAGGAGAGGAAAGGTGTAGAGAGAACAGAGCCAAAGTGTTTTCAGATGGCAGGGAAAGGACATGCTGCATTATGGAAAATTACAATCAGATATTAGGGGAAAAAAAAAATCTCCAAGAGGTTGGTCAAGCACTGGAACAGGTTGACCAGAGGTGGTGGTGGTTCTCCATCCTTGGAGATAATCAGAGCTCAACTGGACCCAGGCCTGAGTAACCTGATCCAACTCTGAAGTGAGCCCTGCACTGAGCATGGGGTTGGAACAAATAATCCTCAGAGGTCCCTTCCAAATTATCCTTTTATTCTGTTGGAAAGAGGAAGTAGTACTGGAGTGTGATACTGTCTGGGCACAGCTGCTGGGTGAGTCACAAGGACGAAGCAGAATCCTGACTGCTTTGGGAGATGCCCTTGGAGGAGAGAGTGGAGAGCAGTGAAAGGGGAAGTCTTTAGAGCTGTCTCTTCTTTCCAAGCCAGACACAAATCTAGGAGAGGGAGTTTGAGGGTGGATATCTCTTGTATCGTTTACCAAAGTGCATATCCTTGCCCAGCAGAAGGTTTCTATGCCAAGTCAGAGGTGTAGATGGGTAAGTGCTTCAGGCTCCAGCTGCTGTTTTTGCACCTGATCAGTACCAGAGCAGATGCATCCACCTAGAGCCCACCACAAAACATTTCTTGGACTTGAAGTTCAGTAGAGAGGCAAGACTGGTTTATGTCTTCCCTCTTTTATGTAACATAAAATAATAGAAAGATTCAGTGATTTAAAAAAATGTTTGAAATAATGCCAAGTAGACTGATTGCTTTGTTGAATTCAAAGAACCTTTCTGAAGAATTCCCTCCACTTGATATTAGGAAGGATTTTTGATCATGATTTATGGAGGACATACCTGAAATCTTGCAGGATGAGCTTTGTAATCAACCAGTCATGTCAGAGGAGCTACAGGAAGTCCTCAAATGATGGGTTTTATCAGTTTGGCACAAACATAATTAAGCAGGCATCATTATTCTGATTTGTATTTATAACAAGCTGCAGTTATGCCAGGATGGCCTCAGTTGGCCACCCCGTGCGTGGTGCCAGTGAGTGTCCCCAAGCCACCTGCCTGCAGCCCAGGGAATGTCCCTATGGGGGCGATCAGCACAAGAGCCGCTGCGGAAACCGGCTCCGGCAGGAGCTCCCTCCTGGACAAGACTCCATCCTCGAGCTCCCTCCTGGACCAGACTCCGTCCTGGAGCTCCCTCCTAGACCAGACTCCGTCACAAGACTCCATCCTGGAGCTCCCTCCTGGACCAGACTCCGTCCTGGAGCTCCCTCCTAGACCAGACTCCGTCCTGGAGCTCCCTCCTAGACCAGACTCCGTCATGGAGCAGGAGTGTGATGCAAGCACAGCCAGGGTTGCCACTGGAGGGCTGATAGGCATAGAAAACTTTATTTTCATGTATTTACTTTTTATCTTCTGAAGTGTTCCTAGCTTGAATAAGAGTTATGAAGCTCTTCTCTTTCAGGGATCCAAGTTGGTTTTGCTCTGATGAAATTGGCTCATGTAAAGACATTCTGTAACTCACATTTCTGTTCTTAAATTCACAT